TTATGCAGGTAATTTCTCTTTTCATCTCCTCTTGTCCTGCTTCAATCTTGACCAGTATTCATATTTCCTTTAACTGCTTCCATCTTTCCCTTAACAGATTCCTGTCCTGCTTTCATCTCTGCTTGGCCTGCATTTCTATTTTAACAGAATCTTTCATCTCTTCTTTAAATGCAGCAAACGCTGCCATGAATTATCTTAATTGTTCTTCTATCACTGTTGTTACTGGCATTCAAAATCCCACTTCTGACACCAAAAAGTCTTGCCTGCATACGGATTCGTAATAAATTGAATGCACAAGTCAGATGAAAAGTGAATAAAAATTTATTATTATCACAACAAATAAAACAAAATGCTTAAATTTCCTCAGATATTCGATCAATATTGCAATATCTCACAGTAGTTATTTTTTTCTTAAGCTACTAAAATGTCCAACAGAACTTAATTCAAAACAGAGAAAGCTAATCAATCCAATTTCACCGCAAATTCGCTACTATCATTAAGAGCAATAAGTAAACAACAGTTTCCTAAACAAACTAAGTTGAAATGTTTTTATCCCACTTTTTATAAGCTGTTTAAATGTGCATGAGCATATTCTGGTATTTTCTCAATTTTTCTGGATATTAAAAGATTACAATTAAAAGATATCTATTAAATGCGCGTACTTCTGTATTTATAATTTTTCCGGTATAGCTTTCTTTTAAAATAAGTCTTGTGCTGCATTGCACAGTAATATAAAACAATTTCAATTAATTCTATTTAAAAATAGCTAAATCAATACAAAAACTGTAACAATATGTATATACACATATACTTTTTATTTATATGTATATAAGTACTTGTGTATTATCCCCCCCCACCTTTGTATAATTTGGCAGATTTTATGGGGGGAAAAGCAATTATTTTATTGTAAAAAATTATATATTATATACATATTGTTACATTACATTATTATACATACATATTCTATGTTTCAGTTATATATACAATGAAGAGCCATTACATTATGACCACTGACCATCAATAACAGTAGGCTTGCCCAGGAACAAAACCACTGCGCCTGCACGGCTGATGTTAGATTATACAGTACAAAGGCTGTAATCCCAATGTCCATTTTCCGGACTGATCTAAATAATAATTCAGACCTCCGAAAAACCGATGCGCAAGCGCTTGTGCATAATACGTTTACGCATGTGCCTTTAATGTATAATGGAGGGTATAAGCTAAGCTAAAATTATCTAGTTACCTACTTCAGTAAATGTTGCAGATTGCGTTGTTCCTTAATCTTCTAATTGGATCCGGCTTATTATTTTTTGCAGACGGTTAGTGCAATTTTATAAAAGTAAGCTTGAACTTTCGATTATGTCAAAAAGAATTTCCGATTCTGGAGTTGCCAAAGGATCTGCAAAGTGAAAGCATGTTTCGATGTCCATTAAACAAAAAGTGGAATTGCTGCAAAAAATGGATAAAGGCATGAAGAAAGTGACAGAGATGTGATTTGTTTCTCTAACCATTCCGAAATCCGTTTATCAATTTCACGCTGCTCTGCGGGGGGGGACGTCAGAGCGTGCATTGAACTGGAAGTTGATCTGTCAGCACTATCCTTATCTTCAGGGCAGATGTTTTTATTTTATTCGACTTATGATTCCTTACTAAATTTAGTATTTCATCTCAATGTACTCCGTCTTTGATATGATTTAAATCAAATTTCTCGTCATTATAAATATCACGAATACACATCAAATAGTTTTCTGGTTGCAATTTTCTAATTTCGACTATGTGTAATATATGCTTTATGCATGCACGCCTTGAAAGAAAGGTTTAATAAAGTAAACAAATAAATATTAAGCCTTTTTTTTTTTTTTTTTTTTTTTTTTTTTTTGTAAATTTTGATACCCTTTAGATCGTAATTGCTCTGTATTTCATAAATTATGGTTTCATATTTTTAATTTTATAATTTCTGCATGCCATCTTACCAGATAAACTGATGATCTATAATCTGGAAAAACCGATAATCCAGAATCGCCGAAGTCGCGACGAGTCCGGATTAAAGACTTTTGACTGTACATGATACCATGTTGATCCCACCATATACACAACGTTATTTTTTTCCATGAATATTCTGTTTATTGGTTTCATTTGGTTTGAGCGAATCATAATACATGATACCATGTTGATCCCACCATATACACAACATTATTTTTTGCCATGAATATTCTGTTTAACTGTCAATGTTGAAGCATGGCCAGGTGTTCCCCTGATTTCTCTGAGTTATCATAGTGGATTCTTTTTTCATCACCAGGAACTTTACAATTCAAAAAACCTTTTTTCTTATGCTTGCCAAGCAGCATTTCACATGTTAAAAACCAACATTCAACATTTCTCGGCATCAGTTCATACGGAACTCAATTTCCGTGCTTTTAAATCATTCCTAATGATTTTAAATAATGTGAAATTGCTTGGTGAGTCAAACATAATTGTAAATTCTACTTGCATTTGGCATGAATCTTCATCCTGTAATGCTTCCAATTCCATGTCTTCATACACTTTCTTTCTTCTGCCATGTTCTTTGACGTCAAATTCATTGTTGTTAAATTTTTTAACCACTCCTGACAATTTCTCTTACTTATGGTAACCTCGCCACATGTTTCTACGAGCTATGCCTCGGCTGCATATTTCTTCAAATTAAAGAAGTACATCAAAAGTTCTTACAAATGACACTTCTTCAACTCAAAACTTGACATTTTCATGCAAAAAAATATATGATGCTGGTACAAAATCACTAATATTTCAAGGTTATGTTGTTGGCCAGCCTCACAATATGATGTTTTACATCAGACGATTTTAGCCATAACTTTCTGGCGGCACCATTTTTTGCCAGACAGCAGAGACTTATTTGTACTTCTAATATATATACCCACTCTGTTACCCAACATTTTGAGCTCGATTTTTTTTAAATTCTTATACGGGGTAAGTTGTGCAATTTTTGCTTTAAAAACGATTGAATTATGGTTTTTTTTTTTTTTTTTTTTTTTTTTTTTTTATGTATTTAGTTAATCTGTATGCAGTAATCATAGAATTATCAACAACTTAAAAGTTTAAGTGAAGCTAGGTTTAATGAGGCTGTCACTTGTTTATATTTAAAATTCTCGCTAGAATAGTGAATTCATGCCAATATCAAAATGTTTCAAAATACTCTGCATTTTGAACTGTTATCAATTGATTATGAGGTTTCTATTGAAGATTGCAGCATCTAGTCAGATAAGTCTTTGCATGTGTGATGGTTCCAATCTTATTCATACTAATGCTCCAGCTTCATTCAGATGAGTCGCATTATCTTCTTTTAACTGGACCATTTCAGCATCTTTTTACCCTGTAGGACCAAAACTTAACTTTAAATTTTGTGTGCCGAAAATTTTGTCTTTCTGCCCACTGGCCGAATTGCTTGCTTTTGCATAGAAATTCTAATTTTAATTGCAAAAGTTACTTTTTTAACTGTTTTTAAGGGTATATAGTGTTTTTGTTTTTCTGCATTTTGCAATTTTTAATGAAGATGTTTTAAGTTATGTATTTTTCCCTTGCGGTTAAGTGAAAACTGAATTAATTGAATGAGAAATATATCTCTAATGAAATTCAAGGAAATAAATTTGGATGAATTGCAGCAAAAATTGTGTGTAATTTAATAGGTCATAGGAAGTCATGCAGTGTTCACATCAGATATTTTATTCAGTAAAAGAAATACAGTCAAAAGTCTTTAATCCGGACCTCAAAGCTACAAACTTTCTGCATGTGCATTTAATGTATAACGGACGGTATAAGCTAAGCTAAAATTATCTAATTATCTATTTCGGTTAATGTTGCTGATTGCATTGTTCCTTAATCTTCGAATTGGATCCGGCTTATCATTTTTTGCAGACTGTTAGAGCAATTTTATAAAAAGTTAGCTTGAACTTTTGATTATGTCAAAAAAAGTTTCCAATTCTGCAGCTGCCAAAGGATCTACAAAGTGAAAGCATGTTTCGATGTCCGTTAAATAAAAAGTGGAATTGCTGCAAAAAAAGGATAAAGGCATGAAGAAAGTGACAGAGAGGTGATTTTTTTCTCTAACCATTCCGAAATCTGTTTATCAATTTCACGCTGCTCTGTGGTTGGGGGCATGAAGAAAGTGACAGAGAGGTGATTTTTTTCTCTAACCATTCCGAAATCTGTTTATCAATTTCACGCTGCTCTGCAATTGGGGGCATGAAGAAAGTGACAGAGAGGTGATTTTTTTCTCTAACCATTCTGAAATCTGTATATCAATTTCACGCTGCTCTGCGTCGCAGCGCGTAATGAACTGGAAGTTGATCTGTCAGCACCACTATCCTCATCTTCAGGGCAGATGTTTTTATTTTATTCAGCTTATAATTCCTCACTAAATGTAGTGTTTCATCTCGATGTACTCCAATATAATTTAAATCAATTTCCTCGTCATTGTAAATATCACGAATACACATCAAATAGTTTTCTGGTTGCAATTTTCTAATTTCGACTATGTAATATATGCTTTACGCATGCGTGTGTTGAAAGAAAAGTTTAATAAAGTAAACAAATAAATATTAAGCTTTTTTTTGTAAATTTTGATACCCTTTAGATCATAATTGCTCTTTATTTCATAAATTACAGTTTCATATTTTTAATAATTTCTGCATGCCGTCTTACCAGATAAACTGATGATCTATAATACGGAAAAACCAATAATCTGAAATCGCCGAAGTCCCGACGAGTCCGGATTAAAGACTTTTGAGTGTATTTCTTTCATTTGCACTGTAATAGGATAAAACTTTTTAACATTCTTATTTATTATATTGTGTTTTCTGTAAAAGTTTTTATTTGTTTGTTCTTAATTTATTTGTTAGTTTATTATGTTTGGGTAGAAAAATTTTTAAAAGTTAAATTTCAGTGTGAATCCTGTTATATTCACATATTGTATGTATATCTTAAAAATTTGTAAATTTTTTCAGCTGGGCTCGTCATCCACGTACCCTGCATCTTCTGATGCTGGACCCTGAAACTTCTGGATCTGAGAGTCTTGTTCGTCATCCACTTTCAATAAATAAATTGGTTCCTTTACCTTCAGATTATAGTGAACTGATCAATAGTGTATCTGAGTTCACTTGTCCTAATTCAGACGGGGATGACAGTCGTAATCCAACTATTTGCCTGGTGTGTGGTACAGTTTTATGTTCTCAGGGTTATTGCTGCCAAATAGACCTAAATGGTACCCTTGTTGGAGCCTGTACTAATCATGCACATTTTTGTGGATCAGGAGTTGGAATTTTCTTGAGAATCAGAGATTGTAAAATTCTTCTACTCTCAGATAAAAATAAAGGTAAGGTGTTTTTGTTGATATCCCTCATATTATAAATATCTCAAACCATGTAATATAGAGTTTGACTGAATCATCTGCAATTCGCTGGTTGCTCAGCTTACTATATTATTCAAAAATCATGATTTTGAAGGCCGCATTATAAAATAGTTTTATATACTTTACACCAGTAGTCTCAAAGTCAAATAGCATGTGGCCTAAATGGATAATCTAAAAGCAGCTGATCATGTGTGTGTATTGTGCCATATAGTATAAATATCTCAAAACATGTCATATAGAGTTTGACTGAATTATCTGCAATTCACTGGTTGCTAAGCTCACTATATTATTCAAAAATAATGATTTTGAAGGCCGCATTATAAAATAGTTTTATATACTTTACACCAGTGGTCTCAAACTCAAATTGCATGTGGCCTAAAATGAGTAATCTGAAAGCAGCTGATCATGTTTGTGTATTATGCCATATAGTACGAGGGTAAGTTGAAAAATAAGTTTCCCCTGTCGACTGTGGTCAGAGTTGTGTATGAAAGTCAAAAAATAGAATGAGACATTAAAGATATGACATACCTTTATTTTTCCACATAGGTACCAAGTACATTGAGACATTTGTCATATCGCTTGATAAGCTTCAAAAAGCCCTCCAGGAAAAAATCAGGGCTTTGCATATGGAAGAAGCGTTGAACAGCTTGTTTCACTTCAGTATTGCTTCCAAAGCGCCTTCCCCCGAGATTTTTCTTCAAAGCCGGAAACAGATGGAAGTCGCTTGGTGCGAGATCAGGACTGTATGGCAGATGGTGTAGGCACTCCCAACCAAGAGTTGCAATATGGTTTTGCGTTGCCGTCGCCGAATGTGGTCTGGCATTGTCATCCAACAGCAGAACGCCAGATGTGAGAAGGCCAGGCTGCTTTTTCCGAATCGCCTCTTTCAATTTCGACAGGGTGTCACAGTAGTGCGTAGCATTGATGGTTCCAACCTCCAAAAAGTCCAGCAACAAACTCCTTGGCGTCCCAGAAAACTGTGAGGAGCACTTTACCTGCAGAGGGAGTTGTCTTGAACTTCTTTCGGACAGGTGATGACGGATGTTTCCACTCCATAGATGCGGCCTTCGATTCTGGCGTGAAATGGTGGACCCACGTTTCATTCCCCGTCACAATCCAAAACAGAAAGTCATTGCCATCTTCATGGTAACGCACAAGATGTTCCAGGCTGACCCCCATGCGTTGTTCTTTGTGTGTCGATGTCAATTGTCGGGGCACCCATCGAGCTGACGCTTTTCTGTATCGAAGAATGTCGTGAATGATGTTTCGAGCTCGCTCATGTGAGATTCCAAGTTCTTCCGCTACTTCATCGATGGTGATACGCCGGTTCGCTCTAATCATGTCATCCACCTTCCTGGCATTTGCATCTGTAGTGGCCATGCACATCCGTCCAACTTTCGGTATGTCCTCCACTTGCTGATGTCCATCACTGAATGTGCGACACCATCTCCACACCATTTGCTTCGACTTCCCACCTGGCCCATAGTGAATGTGCGACACCATCTCCACACCATTTGCTTCGACTTCCCACCTGGCCCATAGACTTCCACGAGGCGGTTATGAATTTCTGTTCCTGATACTCTACGTGCCCATTCATAGCGGATAACCGCTCTCACTTCCTCCTTTGACCACAAATTCAAAACGCACCTTCTCTCCATACCTACCAGGACTCAAATGAGAGGCTGGTCTCTGCTTTGCGCTGGCACTGCAACAGTGCCATCTGCTTGATTTGCAGTGACCTCTACCCAATGGTGTATCGGTGACTTGCACGTTTTCCTGCTGTGTCGCCTTTCGCCCATAGCCGTTCAACACTTCTTCCATATGCAAAGCGTGAATTTTTCTTGGAGGACTTTTTAAAGCTTATCAAGCGATATGACAAATGTCTCAACGTACTCGTACGAGAATAATAAAATAAAGGTATGTCATATCTTTAATGTCTTATTCTATTTTTTGACTTTCATACACAACTCTGACCACAGTCGACAGGGAAAACTTATTTTTCAACTTACCCCCCTCGTATATGTAACCACTAAAGTGCTGAAATCAGTTTTATGCAGATTAACTAGGATGATCCATTAAAGGAAAATTGTTTAATTTCTTAAATTACCTAGGTAATCTGCGCATTATCTACTAGGCACTCCCTAAAGTGAGAATAAGATCTTTGCTGGAATAACAGCAAAGTTTCTGCACCCTTAAAACAGCTGCCATTTCAGGTAGGCTTTCAGAAAATTTTACGGCAAATGTAAACGTATCACAAATAGGTGTGCTTGTCACAAGATCCAGTTGCTATGTAGTTCAAAGTGTCAACAATCTTTAAATCGTATTAATAAGTGAGCATAATTTTATATAGGTTTTGCAAGTTCATTTCCTTAATTGTAATAATATTTTAAATTGGTTTATGCATTGTATTATAGTTTTGTAATTGATTGATTCTATCAACTAATTTGTTGATTGTCTAATCGTATTAACCTGATTTTTTAGATATTGAAAAATAAGTAAATAACAATATGTTAATTTAAGCATACAGAAATGTTGGTTGCTGTTGTTCCAGCAAAGCTCTTTTTTTTTTTTTTTTTTTTTTTTTTTTTTTTTCTCCAGTTTAATGATTGCCTAGTAGGTAATGTGCAAAGTGGGTGGAAGAGGGAAAGGAAATGAAAAAAACAAGCATTGAACTTTAATGATTTGGAAACCATTAATGTGCACATTACCTATGTAAAATGCAGAAAACTCTTGATTCAGCACTTTAGTGGAGCAAATCAATTAATATGCAGATTAGCTAGGTAAATAATATTCATATTAACAACTTTCGTACTGTAGCGGAAACATATACACCTAATGTATGGATATCACCCTTTTATAACCTGCTGTTATGTGTAATGTCTGTATGTGATGTACTGCACATAAGTTTGTAATACATTTGGATATTATATTTTTTTTTAATTTAATTTGCCTTGAACAGGGTTTAATTCAAAATTTGTTTCAATAAAATTCAGTTGTATTTTTTACGAGGCTTAACAATGCAATACAGTACAGTGCAATACTTTCAATACAATACAGTACTTTGCAATGCATTACTTACTTTTTATTTATCAAACATAAAATCTTTTTACGAGATTCTTTTTTTTTTTTTTTTTTTTTTTTTTTTTGGCTAAATTCTTTTTTCCATTTAATTTAGGTGCCCTTACAGATATTTATCAAAGCATAATAAACTATAATAATATCACAAAGGAAATATTTATTTATTTTCTGCCTGAAATCGAGATTTTGGCAATAATTCTAATGCATTAAACTTAAAGTAAACAAATTTTATCAAAACTTTACAGAGAAAAACTTTAGAAGTGTTGCAAAATGCAAAAAAAAAAAAAAAAAAAAAAAAAAAAAAAAAAAAAAAAAAAAAAAAAAAAAAAAAAAAAAAAAAAAAAAAAAAAAATAATAAATAATGGCTACCTCTTTCTTTTATTTATTAAATTTTTCTTCGACACATGCAGGGAAAAAATGCATATATGTAAAAGAATTATAAAATTCTTTATATCTTACTACAGTTTGACAATTGATGGCATTTCAGTTCTGATAAAATTTGTAGCTGAAGAAAAATTACTAGAAACTGTCAACATGGATTTTAGATGTTCATCCATCGAGTTCTTTTCTCAGACTTCAAATTTTCAACTGCAGAAAATACTTCACATATAAATAAACTTCCAAATAAAGTGATTCTCTTTTTCAAAAATTCGTAACTGAGGGTATCTTCTGACCGAGTACAAATAAAGTTTAATCAAATATACATCTTCTCATTGTTGAATAAGATTTGTATAGAACTGGCAAGCTAATTAGCTTCCCTTGTAGAATGCATTATTCATGTTCATTTTAATATCAATAAAAGTAATGTAAATTTGGATTAATTGAAATTAAAAAAGCATTAAAGCATTGAAATGTTCCATCTTTTTTTCCCTGAAAAAATCTTGTAATAATGCCCCCCTTTTTGTGTGTGTGTGTTTGAGTTTCTTTATTTGAAATAAATAATAGGGCAGGATTTAAGATGTAGGAAATGTTAAATGTTTTTAATTTTTATTGAATGAAAAATTAGATGTATCAGTAAATTTCAAAAGCCGCCCAGTGGGTATGGTGGTCAGGGAAGCTGACTACGATGTCGAAGGGCCTGGGTTTGAATCCCGGAGAAGGCATGTTTGTAACTGTCCATCCCTTCATAAAAAAGGCAATGATGGTCCACCTATTAGGTGCCCCTATAATAAAGAGACCACCACATCTGGCCTTGTATAGATTAATGGGTTACATTTTTAATTGTTCACAATCTGCCATTGGATTTTTAAAAAAAATTCAAAATGTTACTGTCTTTATTTTTTCACTTAAAAAATGATGTCCTGTTTAAGATGCTTCACTTAATATAATTTTCACTCTTCAAAATACATTTTTTTAATATTGTAAACAAATACTACATCCAAAAAACTACATGTATTTATTCCCATTTAATGCGACACCTCTTGCTGAGCGTTATTAGCCATGTCATTTATATTTGACTCGTAACTTGTTGTTTTTAATAGCACACAAGATTCACTTAAATCTGAACCAAATTGATTTTATAGAATTCATTGATGAAAATACCTGCTCATAAATGTATGAGGACCCAAACTAGTGACTCATGAATACATTTCAGTTATGATTTATTGTAAATACACTTATATTTCTCAAGATATAGAGATATGGACTGAGCTTATATGCAGAACTGTTTGGTGGAATAAGACATAGAATGAATAAATTAGGCTTTCTTTTTGTCAATGCAGATTTGTATGTTGGTGATTTATCATACCTTGGACTAAGCAGCATTTTAAATATTCTCAATGAAGAATTGTGAGGAATAAATGAACTAGTTTGCTTGTATTAAAACTTTTGCTATAGTCAAACTGCATCTAAGATTTTAATAATTTAGACTCTGATTTTACATTATTTTCATTACTACTTAAAAACAAACATAAAAAAAAGTGCCAGAAAATCTATAAATGGAACTAATTCTTTATAATGTGATATGAATCTTATTCAGAGATTTGAAGATACAGACTTATTACTTTTATTCATACGAGTCCTCAAAAAATAAATATCCTCATTTAAGAAATTTTATGATAAATCTATGAAAAAGAACCTGATGAACATCTACAATTTGTGATTAATATACTTTCTGGTAGTTTAAATCTGAAGTTAAAACTTTCTGAGAATCGACACGTGTCAAGTTGTAGCAAAAAATAAAGAAGTTTACAACTACATTGCATATGTATTTTTCCTGTATATATAAAAAAAATTTAATAAACAAAATAAATTAGGCTGTTGTTATTTACTCTTCATGTCAAAAACTTTTAAAGTTTTCATAATTTATCTGTTTTTAGTTAAATTAAGCATAAGTTATTTTAGTGATTAGTTCAATGTAATATGATTATTTGAAATAAATGTCAGTCTGAAAATTTAGAATTTGAATAGAAAATTAATATAAATTTGAATCTCCCACCACCACCACTTCTTCATTAATATCATCATTGTTTGTGTATGTTTTGATAAATGTTTAGTAAGAAAAATTCCAAATCTAGTTTAAAATTTGTTTACTCAGTTTTAAATTTTTTCCCAATTTAAAAAGAAAAAAAAAAAAAAAAAAGAATTCAGCCATTTAGCTGCTTTTTGGTGTTTCAGATTGCTGCTTTCTGAGTTGATGCCACTACAGTAAAGAACTGTTATTATATGAGAGAGACTTGGAGACTTTAAGCTTTATATATCTCAAATTTAATATAGTGCACTTGTGTGGTTATTTTTAAATTGTGTATAGTAAAAACTATGAGAGAGTCTACTTAACCAAAAAAAAAAAAAAAAAAAGTTTTGTTGTGAAAAATTTAATATAAAAAATTCTAATTTTTTTATCTGAAATGTCTTAAACATTAGAATTAAATTTTTTATAGGAAAAAATATTCATTTAAAGCTTCAATTTGTAAAATAATAATAATAATTTTTATATCATTCCAGATTTTTAACATAATGCTTTGAATAAATGGAATATTTAAAATAATGTAAAAACACTGTTTTGAATGTACATTACTTTTTTACGAAAGATAAATTTTGAAGTGGTATAGAGAAAATAATATTGAAGAATTTTGAAAGCTTTTCATTATTTTCCCCTTTGTTTCTTTCTAATTAGCATAATTTTTTTTAAACTATGTACCAGCTATGTTGATTATTTTTAATTTTATTTAAAGGTTGTTTTACTGCACCTCCATATGTTGACGAATATGGAGAGACAGATCAAGGACTGTTTCGAGGCAATCCTCTCCATCTTTGTTCTGAGAGATATGAAGAACTGCATGAGTTATGGTTAAGCCATAATGTTCCAGAACGTGTCTCACACAACATGGAGCAATCAACCACACTACCAAATTGGCAATTGTTGTGACCCCATGACTGACATTATGTACCTTTATTTATTAATAATCTACTTTTGACTTGAATAAGTAATTGCACTTATTCTTTTGTTGTATTATTGCCGTTTATTTTTTTAAATTACGAAGTCTCTTCTTCAGAGCAGAATAATTTGAATCTAAATTTCCATTTTGTATGTTACCTCAAATTTGAAATACTCAAAAGATGTACATAATATAGCCTTTTTTTAAATCCTTGTTTCAAATCAAATTTTCTCTGGAAATGTGTTTTAAAATTTCAGAATACATAAAAGCAATTAAAAAGGATCTGTATTTTATGATAGTTTCCTCTCTGATGAGGTTCTATGAATGTCTGTATTGTATGATAAATCCTGCCCTTCCTTGACCCCCTTTTTCATGTACAGTTTTCGGAGACTGACTTTTTTCATTGATTATGTTAGTCTTTACTTCCTGTTATATAATTCTATTATGGGCTCAAATTGGTAACAGATATGAATATTTGTTGTATAATTGAGTATGTAATTAAAGTTTAAAATACCAACTTAACATGTTTTTTTTTTAATATTTGATTATTATCTTAATTTTTTGGTATGAATATTCAGAAAACTTGTTAGTTGTAGAGTGGCAATATAGCATTGAACAGCAAGAGGGAATAAAAATGCACTTGGATGTTTTGGCCACCCTAAACAGTTGATTATATATGAGACTACATGAATATTAAATCCAATTATATGTTATATATTCATTTAATTGTGTAAATATTATAATTGCTATATTAGAAAGAATCATATCAAATCATGTTAATCAGTGCTTTATGTTTGTTAAACAATATTTAAAATTATTTTAAAATGTAACATAAAGTTGGTTTTTTATTTCAAGAAAACACATAACATGAAAGTTATGCTTAAAATTCTAAAAGCAAAGTGACAAGTCTTGGCAGATTGCTTAGCACAGAGATTTAAGAATGACAAAAATACAGCCATATATAAAGAGTATTTGCACATGAGGTCTTGACTTCTCAATAACGAGTATTTTTTAATATTTTATATTCCGAGTTTTATAATTCCAAATTTGTTCCATCAAATAAAAAAAAATATTGTTTTCAATTTTTCATTTTCTTATTAATGAGCAAAAAGACTATCAAACAAAGCAAAAAATATAAAAAGAGCTGGGAAACAATGCTATAGATAAGATTTTATGGTTACAAAACTTGCTTATCCATAAAATTGATTGATTTATTTTGTGAAGTTTGTATATGGGTTTAGAAATTTCATTAATAACCCTCTAACTGTTAAAATTTTTCATAAAATTCTGAATTGGTTGGTGTAATATATATTTTTTGTGAAATTTAATTTTTTTATTTATATAAATATATTTCTAAAAACTTGCACATATTGCTTAACTTGTTTGTGGCTACATACATATAAGCTTGTAAGGGGAGGTTTAGTGCTTGCATTTACATTATACAACTTTGCATATGGTTTAAATAATATACACACTATCATATAAGATAGTAATTTTATTCATTTAAAATTGCATGGTCGTTTATCAGTAATTATGGTTTCAAAATTTGATAATTTTTCTGTGTGTGGCAGATCTTGAAACAAAGTATGCATAATCCAATGCTATAAACCTGGGAAAAAAAAGTAGCATCAGAAAAAATACATATATTAAAATTACATCAAGATTTTTTAGTGCTAAATTGTTTTCTGCCTGTAAAGCTATGTATGATGTTAAGGGGAAAAAAAAAACTGCATTGAGCACATACGTCCTCTTACACAGAATTCTAAGACAAAAAATTACTTGCATAAAATCAAATTTGCAGGGTTTGTGCTGCCATCTGTTGAATATTTTTGGATTTAAATTAGTACTGGCATAATAAAAGTGAATAAGAGAATAGTTTTTATTGATTCATTTCATGAAGAGTAGAGCATGTAAGATGCACAGAGATAACAAAATTAATTTGGAATGACCACCTATATGTGAGTCAGATACAGTTGTTAAGGTACATTGGTGCATGAACATTTAAAAAAAATATTGGTTTAGCATTATATATTACTAATTATACCTGTAAATTCTTTCTTTTAATACTTGTATGAATTATTTAGAAGCATGTGTTTTTAATAGTTAATTTTGTACAGTGATAAACAGTATAACTTAAAAGATAATAAAAATTATTGATAATTGATTGCCTGATTTTTTAAATTGTAAAGTTTAATTTGGTGTGAGAAGTGAAAAAACTAGTTTAATGACATTTCTAATGTCAGTGCAGAGAGAAATTAATGATCACATCCATAGCCAGGACAAGGGTGAGGGAATTGCCTCAGGTGAACAGTTTTAAAAGTGGAGCCAAATATGCAATGGGAATTTAGAATATGTTTAGAAAAATGAAATCATGATTACTTGACTAAGCATTGGAATGGATGAAGAAATATAAATAATAATAATAATAATAATAATTGTGTGGTATAAATGATCCTGCTGAATTAAGGTAAGAATTAATAACATTAATTATATTTTTTTAATGCTGAGTATTATGTAACATAAAATCTATTATTGGAACTAATGTATTGAAGTTTATTTATACTTATTTTCAACTAACATTCTGAGCTACATAAGCTAAACTAGTACAGAAAGCACCATACTGCCAACATTAGTAATTCTCTACCACTTTAATTTAATAATGACTCTTTGCTGTGATTTTACCATACTTGAGTTAGTGAGTTTCTGAGTTCCTGAACTGAGCATGAATGGCAACACAAATTCAAAGTTTATTGAAGCAAACCTAATGCAAAAAGGCCTATTAAAATAGCACTAGAAGACCAAACAAGAATACCTCAAAATGAAAAGTAACATATTAAAATTGTTTGCTTCATAACTTTTTTATTATTGTTGTTGGTCTTGGTGGTGTGTATTTGTGTAAAATTTGTCATTGATGGAGATACATGAGGCTAGAGTTTTGCTTTGTTTTATCCATATTGTATTCATGCTAGAACTTTACAGTTGGTTTCATGTACATTTAATTCTGGAGCACTTATGCATATTGCCTGACTGAATCAGCATATTTAGTCTGTATTTCTGAGACTGGATGTCAAACATAACTTCTATTTTGAGTTATTCTGTTGATCCTTGTATAATAATTGTTGAATTCTTTTCAATGAAGCAATAAAATGAATTGTTTAGTGTCAAAGAATTAAAAAATGTGATCTGGACACCACACAACTTTGTTGTACAGCCTATTTTTATACACATTTTTTGCTGCACTTTATTTAATCGTATTTCCTAGAATTATTTTAACTTAATTAACTGATCCCTTGAGGTAAGTTAAAAATGACATCAAAAATTGCAAATTATGAAATTAACTATCTCAGTCCATTTTTGTTGTACAGGTATCAAACTTCTTATAATTTTATTTTTTCATAATGATCATAAAACGTTTAAAAATATAAATGTAGGAACTGAGAAACTGCATTAAAAGTTATATTTTGGTATTTGTCTATTTCTTTTTTAATCTTACATTGAATATTTTTGTCATTTAAAACACTTCTGTAATTGGAAGTCTATGACTAACAGAACGAAATTTTAATGTTCTGCAGCTAATCATTTTCGAGTTATGCAAGAAACATACATACAAGACATCACGAAAAAAATTCAGTTTTACAATCTATTTTTTGGTAAAGAGACTTTTATTCTGTCCATATGTACAGACATCATGCCAAAAAATTAGTCAAATTTAATATTTCAGTTGCAATACTATATCGGAAGTTTTTTGCCATTACAATACTTTTACTTCATACAGGAAAGTAAAAAAGAGGTTGAAGATAAACTATTTGGGCTAATTCTAATATAATTGACATTGAAACGAATATGTTTCAAAAAGTTTAATTTCGTTCCATTGATTGTAATGTACCTATATAAAAAGTACTTTTTTTTTTTTTTTTTTTTGTTTGTTTCTTTTCAATGGTTCTCACTTAAGAAAATTTTAAAAATACAGCTGCAAAAAAAATGAAATGAGAAGAAAAATAATTCATCTATTAGTGCTGTTAATTTAATGATTAAAAAAAATAATCATCAAAGCCAGGAAGCAAACTTGTTGATTGCTGGGATTAGTCTCGAACACCTATCATACTCATTAAATTGAACACATTGAAGCCCTCTGAGTTGACATGAGGTGGGATACTAGTCGAGATAAATCATAAAGAAGCATTAAATCTTATTAAAATTGTGCTTATATTGTGGGGATATGATGAGGATGGTAACATAAAAAATATTATCTGCTGTTTCTATTACCATATTTAAATTAGAGTTAGTTGGCACATAATGTATTACCATATTTAAATTAGAGTTAGTTCGCACATAATGTATTAGTTCACTTTCACTGTTTTCCAAAAATCACAAAGATAGCAATAACTCATTCAAACATAAGCCAATCTGTATCAAATTTGAATATGTTGTCATATAAGAGTTGTTGAGTAAAACTGCCGTATGCAAATTAGTGGTGCTGCAGTCTGAATGCGTAATCTGTGAGGAGTATAAAATTGCATGTTTTGAGAGAAAGCCTGTAAATTTCGCTGTGATACTGAGATAAGAAATCTAGGATAATTAATTCATAACAATGACCTCCAGGCATCATCCGAAGAATCTGCGACTGGGAGACTAGTGGCATGACAAAGTCAGATAGAAGTGGCCATATGACTAAATGTTGAGTCCTCCTATGGTTCATAGATTTTAGCAACAATTTCTAACCACAGATTTGGCATCAAGAGGTTCAGCCAATGCTGAGGCTAACAGAGATGACATCCTTGATACTTATATGTCTCCTGGCAGTAGGTGATGATTTGCTGCTACAGGATGATAGTGCTAGATGCACAAGGCTCTCATCGTAAATAACAATCTTCAGTAGCAAACAATCAGTGCATAGAGCTGCCTGCTCGATCACCGGACCTGAATCCACCTGATAACCAAAAAAAAAGAAAAATATCTGAGTGTTAAAAGACTTCACCTGTAACCCAATCCGGACATAATTTTCTCCTAGTTAATGTAAGTCTCTTGCTGCCGGGTTTTGCTAATGAAAATTAAGCAGTGGAAAATATTAAAATGGTATTTCCAGAAGTCCCTGAATGTTTATTATGTTTCATAGATTACCATAAATTGTATTTGAAAATTATATATTGCCGAGTTGAATGTTCGTAAGAGACACTTTTTGTCATCCGAGGCATTTTTTGTTCAGATAGCTTGTTATCCGAGCTCTCACTGTATCTCTTAAAATGAAAGTAAAGATTTACTCAACGTGTTATTAGGAATGATTTGCACATCAGTGTTAAAAGAAAAAGAATTAAAGTGAAGAAAAAATTAAGAAGCTATAAAAGTTATTGCACTTAACAGAATTGGAACCATTCAATTGGAAACAAGTTAGAATAATTTTAGGAAACCCAAACAATTTTAGCGGAAAACGTTATTTGGTTTACATCTGCATAACATCAGGTTAAATTAAGAGTAGTTATGGATTTGGAGCTTTAGTGAATTAATTGCGGGAGAAATTTACTTGAAAATGTTTATAGCGGAGCATAGGTCATGTTAAAATTCGGAATTTTTGTATTATTGAACAATACGCTGTTGCCTATTAGCTATTGGTAATTAAAATGTGTCATTTTTACATTTTATAAAAGCGTTCTTGCTTTCAAAGTAAATAACATGGATATGCGATGGGCATCAAGAACTAACGCTATTAAAGAATTGTTGTCTACAAATAATCAAAGTACTACATCGTTTATTAAAAGGTATGACATCCGTATAGGGCTGGCTGTAGGTATTTTGCTGTCCGGTGCAATCTCTGTGGGACCTAAATTGTAAAAAATTTTACCCTTGTCAATCCTGTTTTCCGTGTCTTCCCTAAGTTCTGAAGCTTTTGCTGTTTCTAATTTTTTCCTCTCGTTTCTTCTACAAATCCTAAAAGTTTTGCCGGCCCTGCACCCACAAGTAAATAAAGTGCATCGATTAATACAAGATATGGCCTCAAATGATAAATTATTGCAGTGGGATGAAAATAATAGTATTTTGAAACAAATCAATTTAAAATTTTTATGAATGTTATTTAGTGAAATCAGAAACAGAACTAAACCTTGCATTCTGTAATTAACATAATGTATATAAATCTGCACACTTAATAGAAGATTTTTTTTTTTTAACAACAGATGACGGAAAATATTACCAGAAGAATTCTCGAGAAGTGTAAAAATTTATCATTAAGATTTAAATATGCCAACAGGAATGGAAAAGGAAGGTTAATTAAATTAGATTTTCCAGAATCAAATCATAAGAAAACGAATTCGATGGAAGACTAACTTAGATAACTGAGATTTAATTTAGATATATAAAACCAAATTTAGAAGTAATTATGAACATACGACGATTGAAAAGATTTTTATCGCATCAGAAATGTTAACAGATCCAATTAGCTATAAACTAAAAGAATTAATGATAAAGAAATTATAAGTACATTTCATGAAAAAGTAATGGTAAAACATGATAAAGAAGGTCATATATGTAAGATTGAAAAAATATAAAAAAGAAAGGAAATAAACTATTTGTTAAATAGTTAGGTTATCCTGATGAATTTAACAGATGGTTAAATAAACAAGACCTAAAACATATGCCTTTTCATCCGTAAGACGTTAAGCTTTTTCGACTTAGGATTTCATCCCTAATAAATGAATATAGATTACAGAGAAAGAGTCCAAAAATACCCAGTCGAGAAACTTCAAAGGACCCTCCGATTAAGGGCACTTCTTAGATCCTTTGTTATAAGACGGAAGATCTTCAGACAAATAAATAAAACACTCTCTAAACATGAATAAAACACTCTCAGAATCGAAAGGATAGGGATTTAAAAAACTACCAAAATTCTAAGACATAAGTCTTTCTACTTAATCCGAAGGATTTTCATCCTTAATAAAGGGGAAATTTTTATGATCTAACAGATAAGTTTTATCATTATGATGATAATATAGAGAGTAAAGAACTGATAGAAATAGAAAGAACAAATGTAGATTATAATAAAGTTAGTAAATATGAATTTCTTTTCAAAAATACAAAAGATAGAATTTTACTTTCTGAATCTTGTATTGAAATAAAATGGAAAATTCTAAAGAATAATAGAAATTCTATAAACAAAGATAATATAGCAGCAAATTGTGGATTAAGTTTATTTATTGGTAAAGAAACTTACACAAGATGGAAAAGTTATTGAACATACATACTTTAGTGATTATTTTCCTATCATTCAACAAGTTACAAGACTTGGAGAATATACGCCTGATTATTCAACAACATAACCAACTGATATTTTTTTTTTTTTTTTTTTTTTTTTTTTTGATAAGAGTGATAGCGCTAATAGAGTAAAATATAACATTAAAGATGATGGAACAATAAAACAGCTCAAACACCTATAACTGAGAACTAGTAAATTAAGAATTGAAGAAAATGAAAACTATAGCGGAGGATTTGATAAAAGCTTGAAAATGGCGAGGGACAATCAATCTGTTACAATGTGGGTAGATCAAATCTATGATTCTTTTAATTATTTCAGGAAAGTAATAACAGGTTTTCAAATAAAAATAGAATTTGAAAGAGAAAAAAATAATGAAAATATGATATATACGGATGTCGCAAATCCTAATTATAAAATAGACCTTGAAGATTTAACATTTTTAATACATGTGAAGTTTAAAAACAAAGCAGAATTATTATATAAAGAATTACTATTAGCTGATAAATATATAGATATTTATTGGAATCAATATGTAATTCATAAATGAAACAAAATTGAAAATGCTAAAAGTGGATCATATCCTATAAGCACTACATCTAATGAAGTTTTAACATTATTCGTTATTCCACAATATGTAGACAGAAGTTAAAAATTATAAAAAAAAAATAATAATATGATATTTGTTCATTTAGATATGGAAGAATGTTAGGTTACAATAAATGGAAAGTTATACAATATACAGTATAAATGGTAAAGTATAATATGGATTTTTTTTAATAAAGAATGGAATAAACCCTATGAAGTTTATCTAGAAATTACAAAGAATAGAAACGAAGAAAGAGGATGTATGCTAGTTTATTTAGCATATGGAAAACTATATCCTGTTACTCCTTTTGATCTATCACATCATGAAAATTATACATCTTTAGGAAATTTAACTTTAAACTTTCGTTATGGATTAAAATGTTAAACTGCGAAAAGCTATATATATATTTTTTTTATTATTGTAGTATTTGTTATTATCCATATTATTGTAGAAGGGAATGTCTAATCATATTAAATATGAATAAACAAGAAATTAAATTAGTTGACACTTTATCATCAAATGCCTAGTCTCTGATTGCCAATTATCTACACTTTGATGATAAAATTAAATCTGGTCAACCAGGGTCACATGGGGATGGTTGGTTTTAAATTAACTGATTATGGAAAATAAAATTT